GTCAGTCTTCTCTGCCAACCCCCTGGGTTCTCGATCGGGACACAGCCTCTTGCTCCACGTTGATGGCGCATCTTGGAGGAGTGGTGACGATACTACCAGCAAAGTCCTCACTCTCCCCCGCCCTCGGGTTCTGTTCTTACTGTTTGGGCCGGACTATGGCGGGGGAAGGGCTCTGCCTCTGTCCCCTGTGGTCTCTGCAGCGATCCCCTCCTGCTCCCCTCACACGGGGAGTCCGCAGGGGCTCTTTCTCTCTCACTCGCTGGCTCGCTCGCTGACAGGTGCACACGGTGTCACTAGGAGAACCCGGGAGAGGTGTGGGTGCTGGGGGAGGGTTCTGGCTGGCTTTGGTGGAAGACGGCAGAGGGTTCGGTCAGAGTCTGGTTATTATATGATGGGTCGCCCTGGACCCTGGCCGTGTGGCTTTTACCTGGAACGGCTGTGCATTGCTGAGAGAGGTGGTTCGTGTCACCGGGCTTTGCAGACAGACCAGCTCACAGCTGCAGCCGCCAGCATCCTGCTGCGAGTCCCCAGGGAGGCGCTGACCACTGTCCTTTCCCCCCACCCCCCGCAGTGAGCCCAGGGAGTTCGTGGAGAACGGCGAGTGCATCCAGTGCCACCCGGAGTGCCTGCCCCAGCCCATGAACGTGACCTGCACAGGACGCGTAAGGAGCTCGTTTCATGCCGTTCCCCCACACGCCACGGGGAAAGGCCTCCCAGCGGTCGCCCCACCACGGCCCACTGTCCCCATGGCTGCTGGGGACAGCGCCCCCGCAAACTTTTTAAAATCCAGTTTCCTAGCGACGTAGTGATGTGGTGAAGAGTATCAGTGAGAACTCAGCATCCCAGAGCGGAAGGTAGCCCGTTGCTCAGTTAACTGGGCAGTGGCACTGCCCTCAGCCCGCCGCCTCCTGCCCACGGACTGGCTGGAGGTGGGTTTCTGGCAATTTGCTGGGCAGGTCTGGCTGCCGCAAGCCTCCCCGAGCCACAAATCCCACGTGTGAGCAAGTCCGCCCCACCAGCCCCGGGGTGGATGTACATGCGGGCCCATCCGGGCTGTGCTGACAAGGAGAGATGCCCTCAGAGTGTGAGTGACTTGTAATAAACTAGCACCGTGTCTCATGTTTTGTATGTAGCACACGTGTGCGAGGTCAGACAGGCTTTATGCCCGCTGTGAACAGGGCTCAGGGCTCAAGCACAACCAGACGAACTCGCCTTCCACTCGGACAGTTTCTACACTGTTTGGCTTTTTTCCAAGACACGTATTTAAGTAAAAGGCTGCTTCCATTTGGCAAAGGGGAGAGCCCTCGTCCAGCCGGTGACGGCCTCTCTCCCGCGCGGCAGGGCCCCGACAGCTGCATGCAGTGCGCCCACTACGTCGACGGCCCTCACTGCGTCAAGACCTGCCCGGCCGGGGTCATGGGCGAGAACAACACGCTAGTCTGGAAGTTTGCGGACGCCAGTCACGTCTGCCACCTGTGCCACCCCAACTGCCCCTACGGGTGAGTGCCCCTCGGGCCCTGGGAAAGGACACGCCCAGAACAAAGGTTTCCTATCTTGCAAGTTCACAGATTGGAAATATCTCCAGAATTTCCAGGAGGCACTCCCGGAGGTTTGAGGTGGAGTCAGGGCTTCAGGTGGTCCCCAAGGGCAAGGCAGCAGCCAGAACGGGCTGTTGGGCAAGTCACGGTGGGCGGAGCACAGTGGGAGGGGCTTTCGTAGAGGGGCGTGGTGGGTGGCGCATGGTGTGAGGAGCGCAGTAGACAGGGCACGGTAGGAGGAGTGCATGGGCGGGACTTGGTTGGAGGAGCATGGTGGGCGGGGCACAGTGGGAGGAGCATGGTGGGCAGGGCACAGTGGGAGGAGCATGGTGGGCAGGGCTTGGTGGGAAGAGCACATGGGCGGGACATGGTAGGAGGAGCCTGGTGG